GAGAGCTTGTGGGGCACAATTGCGAGTGCCGCTTTCTCCAACCCGACTTCCGCTACGGGAGAGTGTGATTGGCTGACCTTGCATCGGCGAATGGGGCATGTGGCATTGCCCATTTTGCAGCAGATAGTTAAGCAAGAGATTTTCAGTCGGATACGTGTCAAGGGGGAGCCCAATGAGGTGCTTGGCTGTCCAACATGCATGCAAGCCAAGTTCACCCGCTACCCGTTCAATAGCTCGGAGACAACGGCAAAGGCACCACTTGATGAGGTGGTGATGGATGTGGTGGGCCCCTTGAAGCTTGGAGCTACTGGAGCAGAGTACTTTCTCACCATTGTGGATGTCTACACTCGCATGACTTGGGTGTATGTGCTGCCCAAGAAGAGTGACGTAGCTGAAACGGTGAAGACCGATTGGTTGCCGATGGTGGAGCGGTAACAAGACCGGCTTGTGAAGGCGATTTGCACTGACCGTGGGGGAGAGTTCTTGAGCAAAGACTTCTCAACTTGGCTGAAGAAGCAGAGCATAAGGCACTCTCTTACCATGCCCTACTCTCCTGCAATGAATGGCATCGCCGAGCGTGCGAATCGGATGGAGTCGAGCCCGGGAGGCTCTTCCTCACCGCCTTCTCTGATGCATCTTGGGCATCAGAACCAGAGGACATGACAAGTGTGGGAGGCTTCATTTGCTGTATTGGTGGAAGACCAACAGCTTGGGAGAGCAAGAAACAAGTGGACCAAACATTGAGCTCGGTGGAGTCTGAGTACATGGCACTCTTTTGTGCCATAGGAGAGGTTGTGTGGCAGCGGCGTTTGCTAGCTGAATTGGGGGAGGAGCAGCAAGGACCTACCCCACTCTGTCTTGATAGCCAGGGTGCTATTGCATTGGCTAAAAACCCTGTACTACATGGCCTTACCAAGCACATGAAGGTGAAGTGGCATTGGGTAGTATGGTAACCTCAGGTGAAGTGGAGTTACACTACGTGAACATGACGGCGCAGCCAGCTGACATGATGACCAAGAGGCTGGTTGAGGCTCTGAACTAAGGGGAGCAGATTCTAAGGCCAGAAATCCGAGGGGGAGGTTGTTGGTGCAACCCTATGGCTTGCACTCGGCTTGTCGTCCTTGTTCGTGTGTGTGCATGCATGGCATTGAATGAATTGTGAGTCTATGTCATTGCTATCTAGTGCTTGTGTGTGTGTTTGAATGGTGTATCACAATGTGGTTTGTGTCGGTCAAGACATTAGCGAGTTTTTACAACTCGCATGTCAAGTTATCGTTTGCGCGTCGCATATGTTTTTTCTATTTTTGTCGAGTGTGAAGTGTCCATTATGTCGCAGGTGATTGCAGCAAGCCCTCATCAAGTCAAAAATAATTTATCTTGAAGAACCAAGACCAAGAGCTCAAGATTTCAAGCCCAAGGGACGCGAATAACTATTAACATAGTGAAAATAGTAACGCTACTTCGTGTAGTGTTACATTTCACTTGGTATAGTCCCTTGTTGGGTTTGTTTCGAGTCCCTTCGTGGTTGGGGACTCCGTGGTGGAGTACCACCAACGTGGACCTCGGCTCTTGGGGTATGTAGAGGCTGGGAACCATTTCAATCTCGATTCTTTTTGCTAAGTTTGTACTTCTAAGACTATAGTGGCTGTTATTCCTCCTGCCAGTCAAACCGCCATAGCATCATCAAATCTTCATGGAGTTTCATGATTCAACTTGCTACTGATAGGGGACAGCAATGCGCTGTAGATCCAACTTATAAATCACCATTTGGGTTACAGATCAGATCGCTATCAATATTTGAAGGTGTCTGACAGAATTCCGACTGTACACTCTATCTCTCATTTTAGGCATATCTGAGCGTATTGTAATTAAAACAGATGCGGATGATTTGATTCGGGTCCAAGGGCGTGGAAACTACTACGCGATGTGATTCAGCCCAACACTCTCCCGATGGTGACCGTGCTCGAGAAGGAACTTGCAGCCATCTCCATGCGACCAGGGGACGATGTGAAACCGGTCCTTGACAAGATCAAAGACACATATGTGGGGATGGCAGCAGCGTGCAGCAGTGTGTCTAAGCTGCAGCAGTGCACCAAGATCATCTCGGTTCTTGACAACACCTAAGACAACCTCATCCCTGTTGGTGCAACCCTATGGCTTGCACTTGGCTTGTCGTCCTTGTTTGTGTGTGTGCATGCATGGCATGGAATGAATTGTGAGTCTATGTCATTGCTATCCAGTGCTTGTGTGTGTGTTTGAATGGTGTATCACAATGTGGTTTGTGTCGGTCAAGACATTAGCGAGTTTTTACGACTCGCATGTCAAGTCGTCGTTTGTGTGTCGCATGTGTTTTTTCTATTTTGTCGAGTGTGAAGTGTCCATCGTGTCGCAGGTGTGTGCAGCAAGCCCCCATCAACTCAAGAAGAATTTATCTTGCAGATCCAAGAACAAGAGCTCAAGATTTCAAGCCCAAGGGACGCGGATAAATATTAAATAGTGAAAATAGTAACATTACTTCGTGTAGTGTTACATTTCACTTGGTGTAGCCCCTTGGAGGGTTGGTTTCGAGACTCTTCATGGTTGGGGACTCTGTGGTGGTGTACCACCAACCTGGATCTCGGCTCTTGGGGTATGTAGAGGCTGGAAACCATCTCCCTCTCGAACTCTTCTTGCTATGTTTGTACTCCTAAGACTATAGTGGCTGCTATACCTTCTGCCAGTCAAACCGCCATAGCGTCGTCAAATCTTCATTGAATTTCATGATTCAACTTGCTGCTGATAGACGACAGCAACACGCTCCAGATCCAATTTACAGATTACCATTTGATTCAGCGACCAGATCGTTATCAATATTTGAAGCCGTCTGACGGAAATCCGACTCTGCTCTCTATCTCTCATTATAGGCACATCTAAGCCTATTGTGATTATAACAAGTGGTATCAGAGCCCCTTAGAGCCATCTCAACCATGCCTAGACCTGAGGAAGGGGGTGGCAAAGGTGCTGGAGGCAGAGAAGACGCCCAAGCACAAGGTCAACACCAAGATCCACCCGTTGCTCCGGTGCAACCTAGCCTTGGACCCTCTAGGGATGAGCCTAGAGTGTTTGGCCTTGACAAGTTCAACGGTGACAACTTTGCTGAGTGGTCCTTCAAGATGGAGAACATCTTTGACCATTATGATCTGCTGGAGGTGATGGAAGAAACGGAGAAGCGCCCCGAGAACGACCCGGAGAAGAGCCAGTGGGTGCGGAAGAGCGCACAAGGCTACCTTCTACTTGGGCAAGCGTTGGGGAGCAGCCAAATCCGTCACATCAAGCCTTTTCAGCGTGAACCAGCAAAGGGACCTAAGGTATGGGCTGCTCTCAAGGGTGTACACCCTCCTGCAACAGCAGCGGTAGCTATGGTTTTGGAGCGGCAAATGGCGGCACTTCGAATTGACGAAGGCGAACCGGTGGAGGAAGGAGTACAGAAATTCTTCGACTTGTTGACACGACTCGAAAGACTGAGCTAAACTACAGTGACCTTCAAAATAAGACCAAGCTGCTGGCCTTACTTCCGGACTCATGGTCCTCGCTCATCATCAACCTAAATCGAGATCTGCCCCGTCTCTCACTCGAAGATGTGAAGCGGGAAATCATACAAGAAGATTTCCGACGTCGCGAATTGGCGGGTCCCGATGGTGCCGGAGTTGCAAGCATGGGCCGTGGGCACGGCCGTGGAAGGGGCAGAGGGCGAGGAGGAAGATTTGGCAGCAGTAACTTCAGTGGAGGCCGTGGTAATGGAGGATATGGCAGCAACAACAACAACAATGGCTACGGGCATGGGCGCGGTCGATTTGATGGCGAATGCCACTTTTGTCACAAGACCGGCCACATGTGGAGAGATTGCTTCAGATTTCCTGATGGATGGACCCCTTCTCAAGGCCAAGAGTGTAGAGGAGCAAGGGGAGGAAGAGGCAGAGGTCGTGGAGGCCGTAGTGGTCGTGGAAGCGAAGTGGCAAGCATGAAAGGTGGAAACTACGACAAGGACTCGAGTGAAGATCGATACCCGGGCCAATTCTTCTTTGTCTCCACGCAAGCGGCAGCAGCAGCAGGAGTTGTGGAAGGCTTTGAGGAACCAGCTAATGTGGGAAAGGTCACCCTTCACTCTCTGGACTTTTGGGTGATCGATAGCGGCGCCACCTATAGCATGACACCTCGTGCGGACTTGCTCACCGAACTCGAACCGTCGCCGGTCAAGCATGTTACATCGGCTTTGGGCCATCGAGCAGAGGTGAAAGGCATGGGCAAGGCCATGTTTAAGGGTGCTGATGGGAAGATGGTGGGCCTCAAGAACGTGCTTTGGGTGCCCAACCTAGCAGCCAACCTGATCTCCATTCGGCGTTTGCAAAAGGCCAGCATGGACACATCTTCCAAGGGTTCGAAAACTTATACCGCGAGGCTTGGTGAGCAGAAGCTTTGGGACCTTCATGAGGACAGGGACATCTACAATGATATGTGGCAAATCCCAGTGGTCCCCATGCCTAAGGAGAGGCAAGTGGCAGCAAGCGTCAGCACCAAGAGTGAAGCGGTTGGTGGCGGTGATCACGGAAAGCGAAGTGACACCAAGATTGACTCGAAGGAGTGCAACCTTGGAGAGACTAGCAAGGCGTGTGAACCCAAGGAGAGTGGTGCAGCAGCCAAAGGAGGTGGAAATGAGGAGGAGAAGTCTAAGATCAGCAAAGCAGCAGTGACAAAGGAGAAAGGAGAGAGCTTGTGGGGCACAATTGCGAGTGCCGCTTTCTCCAACCCGACTTCCGCTACGGGAGAGTGTGATTGGCTGACCTTGCATCGGCGAATGGGGCATGTGGCATTGCCCATTTTGCAGCAGATAGTTAAGCAAGAGATGGTCAGTGGGATACGTGTCAAGGGGGAGCCCAATGAGGTGCTTGGCTGTCCAACATGCATGCAAGCCAAGTTCACCCGCTACCCGTTCAATAGCTCGGAGACAACGGCAAAGGCACCACTTGATGAGGTGGTGATGGATGTGGTGGGCCCCTTGAAGCTTGGAGCTACTGGAGCAGAGTACTTCCTCACCATTGTGGACGTCTACACTCGCATGACTTGGGTGTATGTGCTGCCCAAGAAGAGTGACGTAGCTGAAACGGTGAAGACCGATTGGTTGCCGATGGTGGAGCAGCAACAAGACCGACTTGTGAAGGCGATTCGCACTGACCGTGGGGGAGAGTTCTTGAGCAAGGAATTCTCAACTTGGCTGAAGAATCAGGGTATAAGGCACTCTCTTACCATGACCTACTCTCCTGCAATGAACGGCATCGCCGAGCGTGCGAATCGGACACTCACGGAGACGGCTCGGGGACTTCTCATTGAAGCCGGTCTTCCCAATTACTTCTGGCCGGATGCGGTGCGGCATGCTTCTGTGGCCAAGAACAGAGCCTTGACTCATGTGGGAGAAGATAAATGGGTGCCCTATGTGGAGTGGATTGGAAGGAAGCCGAAGGTGGATATGCTTCGGGTGTTCGGGTGCATGTGCATGGCACTTGTGCCTAAGAAACTTCGGCACAACAAGCTTGATGCCAAGGCAACATGGGACGTGCACCTGGGATGGCTCAAAACAGCAAGGGATGGCTTCTTTGGGACCCATTTACCAAGAAGTTCTTGGTGAGCAGAGATTGCAAGTTCATGGAGAACTTACCGTACAAGGAGTGGAAGGCGGAGAATCAAGCGAAGATTGGTGTGCGGCTTGGAGAGGTGAAGAGTAACGGCTTGGAGCATGTGGAGCTGCCCTTGGAGCTGAGTAGCAGCAGCACAGTCACGAGGCAATCTCCTCAAATGAATGGGGATGAGGAGGAGGAGGAGGTGCAGCAAGGTAATGAGCGTGCACCGTCACTTCCGCCTCGTGCTACAAGTGCTCGCGGGAACCGACCAGATTTACCGCAACGCCATGAGAGCATTCAAGTCCTTGCAGCAGAGGAGGAAGGAAGGGGGAGAAGGAGGACTCAGCCCCCCAATAGGTTGAGCTATGACCGGCTTGGAGGACCAGCCAACTCAACCTTGACCGGTTCGACTCTCATGCTAGGCGATGGTGCGGAAGATGAAAGCGAGGAGTGCGCCTTTGCCTTCTTCTCTCCGGTGGAGATGCCGGGGGAGCCTACAAATCCCAAGGAGGCTTGGGAGGGCCCCAATGGGAAGGAGTGGAAGAAGGCCTCAGATGAAGAAATGAGGAGCATCATAGAGAACGACACATTTGACTTTGTGAATCTACCTCCGGGGCGGAAGGCGATCTCTTCCAAGTGGCTCTTCAAGCGCAAGACCGACGCCGACGGCAACATCGAGCGCTACAAGAGCAGACTTGTAGCCAAGGGGTATCAGCAGCAAGAGAAGAAGGACTACAATGAAGTGTATGCCCCTGTGGTGAAGGGTACAACCCTTCGAACCCTCTTCGCCGCGCCGGCCATCAAAGGATGGGTGGTGAAGCAAATGGATATAGTAACGGCCTTCTTCAACGGCGTTTTGGAGGAAGAGACCTACATGGAGCAGCCAGAGGGGTACAATGATGGGAGTGGCAGAGTGTGGAAGCTGAAGAAAGCACTCTATGGCCTCAAGAAAGCCCCTAGGCAATGGTACATCAAGCTGCGGGAAGTCTTGGAGGCGATCAGCTTCACTCCCTCAACGGCCGATCAATCCTTGTTCATGCTTGGCGAGGGGGAGCAGAGGAGCTTCATGGTGGTTTATGTGGATGACATCCTCGTATTCTCACCCTCCTCTGACCTTGTGAAGGAGGTGATGCTGAAGCTTCAAGACAAGTTCAAGTGCAAGACCCTTGGTGACGTCAACTACTATCTTGGGCTTCACATTGAGCGAGATGTGGAGAAGCGGTGGATGCGAGTGCATCAAAAGAAGTACTTGGAGGCCTTGGCTGTAAAATTTGGGAAGAGTGAAGGTCATGTGGCTACTCCTCTTCCCTCAGGGTTCAAGTGTGTGAAAGGACCAGCGGAGGAAAGTGTTGGTGAAGAGAAGAGGCACCGTTTTCACTCCTTGGTGGGCAGCCTCATGTATGCGGCCGTTCACACAAGGCCAGATGCAGCCTTTGCTACCGGGCAGCTGGCTAGGGTTGTCCAATGCCCTAATGAAGAGCAGGCAGCTGCTAGAGAGAGGGTGGCCAAGTACCTTGGCCAAACAGCAACTGTTGGACTGCAATACTCCGCGGCGGCACAAAGGTATCAAAAGGGTGCGGATGGAGTCGAACCCGGGAGGCTCGTTCTCACTGCCTTCTCTGATGCATCTTGGGCATCAGAACCAGAGGACATGACAAGTGTGGGAGGTTTCATCTGCTATGTTGGTGGAGGGCCAACAGCTTGGGAGAGTAAGAAGCAAGTGGACCAAGCATTGAGCTCGGTGGAGTCCGAGTACATGGCACTCTTCCGTGCCATAAGAGAGGTTGTGTGGCAGCGGCGTTTGCTAGCTGAATTGGGGGAGGAGCAGCAAGGACCTACCCCACTCTACTGTGATAGCCAGGGTGCTATTGCATTGGCTAAGAACCCGGTTCTTCATGGCCTTACCAAGCACATGAAGGTGAAGTGGCATTGGGTGAGGAGCATGATAACCGCGGGTGAAGTGGAGTTGCACTACGTGAAGACGACGGCGCAGCCAGCTGATATGATGACCAAGAGGCTGGTTGAGCAGCAGCATTGGAAGTGTTGCAAGCTTGCTGGGATGGCTCTGAACTAAGGGGAGCAGATTCTAAGGCCAACAATCCGAGGGGGAGTTTGTTGGTGCAACCCTATGGCTTGCACTCGGCTTGTCGTCCTTGTTTGTGTGTGTGCATGCATGGCATGGAATGAATTGTGAGTCTATGTCATTGCTATCCAGTGCTTGTGTGTGTGCTTGAATGGTGTATCACAATGTGGTTTGTGTCGGTCAAGACATTAGCGAGTTTTTACAACTCGCATGTCAAGTCGTCGTTTGTGTGTCGCATGTGTTTTTTCTATTTTGTCGAGTGTGAAGTGTCCATCGTATCGCAGGTGTGTGCAGCAAGCCCCCATCAACTCAAGAAGAATTTATCTTGCAGATCCAAGAACAAGAGCTCAAGATTTCAAGCCCAAGGGACGCGGATAAATATTAAATAGTGAAAATAGTAACGTTACTTCGTGTAGTGTTACATTTCACTTGGTGTAGCCCCTTGGAGGGTTGGTTTCGAGACTCTTCATGGTTGGGGACTCTGTGGTGGTGTACCACCAACCTGGACCTCGGCTCTTGGGGTATGTAGAGGCTGGAAACCATCTCCCTCTCGAACTCTTTTTGCTATGTTTGTACTCCTAAGACTATAGTGGCTGCTATACCTTCTGCCAGTCAAACTGCCATAGCGTCGTCAAATTTTCATGGAATTTCATGATTCAACTTGCTGCTGATAGAAGACAGCAACACGCTTCAGATCCAATTTACAGATTACCGTTTCATTCAGCGACTAGATCGTCATCAATATTTGAATCCGTCTGACGGAAATCCGACTGTGCTCTCTATCTCTCATTATAGGCACATCTAAGCCTATTGTGATTATAACAATCCCTACCCTCAACTTTCAGCAAGATCAGTGGACACCTATGTAGCTAATGCAGTAGATTCTGCAGGAGGACTTCCGCAAACGCCATATGGGAGGCGGTGCCGCCACTAAGACTGTCGAGGGGTATGGAGTTGCAGGGTGCGGCAGAGGAAGAGGGGGTTGGAGAGGCAGAGGCCGCGGGAGGAGCTTTGGCAGAGGTAGAGGCCGAGGTGACTATAATGAGGGGCGTGGGAGCTATGGTGGCAGGGGGAGCACTAGAATGGAAGGCACCTGTTGGTGCTGCAAGAAGGTCGGGCATCCTTGGTTCAAGTGCTTCAGTAGGCCGGAGGAAGGGGCACTTCTAGCCATGAGACTGCCCAGTGGTGAACGCGCACAAGGTGGCGATGTGCAAGGCTCAAGTGCACAAGGTAATGCCTCTCCTAGGATGTTTCTCATAGTTGAGGATGTGCATGGGCATGAGGGTGATGTGGGATTTGTCGAAAAGGTTGTTATGCATCCTCTCACTCACTGGGTGATTGACTCAGGTTGCACCAGTCACATGACCCCACGGGCGGATTTGCTTGATGAGGTAAAACCCCCTGGGAAGATCAAGTTTGTAGCACCTGCATCAGGTACTTTGCTTCCCGTGATTGGTGCTGGAAATGCCAAGGTTAAGGGAGCTAATGGGGAGCTTGTGGGGCTTGGGATTGTTCTACTGGTTGAAGGTTTGTGTGCTAACCTTCTCTGTGTGCGGCGACTGCAGAAGAGCAAAGTCGAAGTGACATTTGGACCAACCAGCTGCTGCACTAAGCTTGGGAAGAAGGTCCTGTGGAGTCTGGAAGAGGAGATCAGCTGCATCAAGGACCTGTGGCAGCTGCCCATCATCCCTTGGAATGGGAAGACTCCGACAGTAGCAACGGCAGCAGCGATAAAGACAACAGCAGGAGGAGATGCAACTGCACCAACTGATGGGGTCCTAGAAGCAGTCAAGAAAGTGCAGCAGCAGCAGACACATAATGAGGTGCTTGCTGGTGTGGATGCGAGCGCGGCATGGGCCAAGGCTTTATCTAGGAGTGGTGAGGCCGATTGGGAGACATGGCATGAGAGGCCGTGTCATGTGAACTTCCCTATGCTGCAGAAGTTGGTGAAAGATGGCAACCTGAAAGGCTTAGAGGTGAGAGGGGGAGTGAAGGAGATTGGGAGCTGCCCTACATGCTTGGAGACCAAGTTCTCCAAGTTCCCCGTCAACATGGCGAACGTACCAGCTAAGACCCCACTTGCACTTGTCCACATGGATATGGTGGGGCCCACAAGAGCCCCTTCCCTCTCAGGCAGCCGCTATTTCTTGACAATTGTGGATGACCACACTCGAGAAGTGTGGGTTTACCCTTTAAAGAGCAAGGGGGAGGTGGCAGCAGTAGTCCTCAAGGAGCCCAGGGCTCAGAGGGAGTGCGGATACAAGGTGAAGGTGATCCACAGTGACAATGGTGGGGAGTTCATCAGAGCTGATTTTGAGGGGGAGCTGAAGAGAAAGGGGATCCAGCATCAACTGGCAGTGTTCCAGAACCCGCAGCAGAATGGTGTGGCTGAGAGGTTCAACAGGACCCTGCAGGAGGGGGCACGTACTCTTCTTGGGTGTAGAGGGCTGCCTTATACATTTTGGGTGTCTGCATTGAGGCAAGTCGCCCTTATGAAGAACAGGGTGCTGGCAACTGTGGGGGATAAGGAGTGGATTCCCTTTACCAAGTAGTATAGGAGTGCTCCAGCTTTGAAGATGCTGAGGGCATTTGGGTGCATGGTGGTGTTTCATGTTTCTAAGGAGAAAAGGGGGAATTTGGAGGCTTCTGGAAGATGGGATGTGCACTTGGGGATTGCAAAGGATCACAAGGGATGGCTGCTCTAGGACCTGACCAGCTAGAAACTGACAGTGTCAAGGGGTGTGAAGTTTCTTGAGTCTCTATACTACAAGGAATGGAAGCAGCAGCAGCAGAAGCTTCCATCTATACCTCTCATTGTGGAGGCAGATGAGGTGCAGCGGCCTTCAAGACAAGTGGAGGTTGTAGTGTCTGAGGAGGAGATGTCTGGGGTGACTGAGGAAGGGGGAGCACGTGAGGTGGAGCAGCAGCAGCAGTAGCATGAGTCTCCACTCGAGTTCCACACCCGCCTGAGTGTCCTAGAAGGGATGTGCGCCCTCCAGTGAGGCTGACCTATGGGGAAAGAGGCAAGCCGAATGTGGTGCAAGCTAGGAGTGTGGTTGAGCAGATTGAGGAAGATGAGATTGCTTACTGCTATTGGGCACCAATCCCTGAGCCGAAGACTCGAGAAGAGGCCTTGAATGGACCAAATGGGGAGAAGTGGAAGGCGAGTGAGGATGAGGAGTTCGGATCCCAGATTGAGAACGAGACATGGGACCTGTGTGACTTGCCTCATGGGAAGAAGACAATCACTTCCAAGTTGATCTACAGGCACAAGTATGGACTTGATGGGGAGCTGACCCGCTACAAGTCTAAGCTTGTGGCACGGGGGTTTCAGCAGACGAAGGGCAAGGACTATGATGAGGTGTTTGCTTCTGTGGGAAAAGGAACAACACTGAGGGTGTTATTGGCGATAGCTGCACTCCTGGGATGGAAGATTTGACAGATGAACATTGTGACAGCCTTTCTGAATGGGAACATTCTGGAGGAGGTGTTCATGAAGCAGCCACAGGGGCTGGATGATGGGAGCAGCAGGGTCAGCAGGCTGAAAAATGCCATCTATGGCCTTAAGCAGGCGCCTCGTGCATGGTATCACAAGTTGAAGGAGGCGCTACAGGCTGGGGGTTTCAAGAGGAGTGAGTGTGACCCCAGCATGTTGCAGGAGAAGGATGAAATCCTCATGCTCTTGGTGTATGTGGATGATATCCTTCAAGGGGGGGAGGGGGGGGGAAGGGAGAGGGGGGGTGGGGGGAAGGGGGAGGGGAGGGGGGGGAGGGGGAGGCAAACCAATAGAAATCCACTCAACGGGGTGGCAGACCACTCGGTACCACTCAGGGGGATGGCAAACCACTCGTAAACCACTCGAAAGGGGGGGGGAGTGGCGAACCACTCGAAAACGACTTAGGAGGGTGGCAAACCAGTAGATAACCACTTGGGGGGGTGACAAACCACTTGGAAACCACGTAAGGAGGGGGTGGCAAACCATTAGAAAACCACTTAGGGGGGTGAGAAACCACTAGAAAACCATTCGTGGGGTGGCAAACCACTCGGAAACCATTCAGGGAGGGTGGCAAACCATGAGAAAACCACTCAAGGGGGTTGCAAACCACTCGAAAACCACTTAGGGAGGGTGGCAAACCACTAGAAAACCACTCGAGGTGATGGCAAACCACTCGAAAATAACTCAATGGGGAGGTGGCAAACCACTAGGAAACCATTTAGAGGGGTGGCCAATCATTCGGAAACCACTATTGGGGGGGTGGCCAACCATTTGGAAACCGCACGGAGGGGTGGCAAACCATTAGAAACCCACTCAGCGGGCTGGCAAACCATTCGGAAACCACTCAGAGGGGTGGAAAACCACTAGAAAACCACTCAGGGGGGTGGCAAACCACTTGGAAACCACTTAGGGGTGGTAAACCACTCGGAAATCACTCACCGGGGGTGGCAAACCACTCGGAAGCCACTCGGGGGGTGTGGCAAACCACTCGGAAACCACTCGGGGGGTGTGGCAAACCACTCGGAAACCACTCAGAGCGGGTGGCAAATCACTAGAACAACACTCTGGGGGGTGGCAAACCACTCAGAAACCACTAAGGGGTGGTGGCAAACCACTCGAAAACCACCAAAGGGGGTGGCAAACCACTTGGCAGCCACTCGAGGGGTTGGCAAAACACTCGGAAACCACTCAGGAGGGTGGCAAACCACTAGAAAACCACTTAGTGGGGTGGCAAACCACTCGGAAACCACTTACGAAAGGAGGCAGACCACTAGACAATAACTCAGGGGGGTGGCAAACCACTCGGAAACCACTCAAGGGGTGGCAAACCACTCGAAAACCATTCAGAGGGGGTAGCAAACCACTAGGAAACCACTCAGGGGGGTGAGTGACCACTAGAAAACCACTCAGAGGTGGCAATCCACTCAGAAACCAGTCAAAGGGTGTGGGAAAGCACTCGGAAACCACTCAGGGGGGTGGCAAACAACTCGGAAACCACTCAGGGGAGTGTCAAACCACTCGGAAACCACTGAAGGGCGGTGTCAAACCACTCGGAAACCACTCAAGAAGGGTAGCAATCCACTAGAAAACAACTCAGGGGTGTAGCAGACCACTCGAAAACCACTCGGGGGGGAGGGGGAAACCACTAGAAAACTACCCAGGGGGGTGGCAAACCACTTGAAAACCACTCAGAGGGGTGTCAAACCACTCGAAACCCATTCAGAGGGGGTGGTAAACCACTCGAAAACCACTCAAAGGGGTGGCAAACAACTAGACACTCACTCAGGGGGGTGACAAACCACTAGAAAAGCACACACGAGGGTGGTAAACCACTCAAAAACAATTCAGAGGGGGGGGAAACCACTAGAAAACTACTCAGGGGGGTGGCAAACCACTCGAAAACCACTCAAGGGGTGGCAAACCACTCGGAAATCACTCATGGGGGGTGGCAAACCACTCGGAAACCACTCAGGGGGTGTGGCAAACCACTCGAAAACCACTCAAGGGGTGGAAAACCACTCGGAAATCACTCACGGGGGGGTGACAAACCACTCGGAAACCACACAAGGGGTGTGGCAAACTACTCGGAAACCACT